CTAAGTTCATGTGCACCAAATCACACATGTATGATCGTACCTGTCAAAGGGTTAAAGTCTAGAGATAAGTCTGTTAGAATGTCGTCACACATGAACGTCACCATGGTCACTCTGAAGCAAGACCCCTGCAATCAAAGTAAAGATGTTGTTTATCCATTACATATGTGTATTACATCATTAACATCGATTCATTAAACGAACTTCATTTTTCATTCAAATTCATTGTCATTACAAATTTTCACGATAGACTTGTGATCGATAAGTAACAATAAAAGGTACCGATACATTGAAAAAACAGCTGACGAAAGAAATATGTGGTGACAGTGCATGCTTCCTGGGAGATGGAACAGTTGCTTAACCGATTTTCAGCTAAGTAATAATTCTACATTCCATGATCAACCACGATCTAAATATTTCAACTACTACATCGCATCTTCTCTTCTGAGTACGAATGAATAAAATACCCTAAATCCTGATATCATGAACGGCATCGAGAGAAGGTCGAAATAAAGACGCAAGATTTCGCAGAAATGGAAACAGAAAATTTTTCCCAAAAACAACCTCGGTATATTGGGAAACTGATGCTTTCTGGAAAAATAGCCAGGGAGTCTCATTTCTAACATCTCCATTCAGCGCAAATGTCAACGAATAGCAATAGACTTTCATAGGCAATAATAACGGAATTCACAGATGACAATGATCCCTTTGTTCGATCTTAAACGAAGACGTTTAATACGAGAGGCCAGGACTTCTCTTTGCAAAACAAGATATTCAGCTGGTTGTCCAATGCATGATGCAGGATCTTTCACATCTTTCCAAATCCAGCCGCGCCACCATTTTCCATTTAGTCCCATTGTACGCTTCCACCGAAGGAGTCTTCTGTCCACCGACAGCGTAAAGATTTCCCTCAAATGAGATGAGGCCTTGATTACATCGCTTTTCCTTCATGGAGGATATGGTCTCCTTCCCGATGAATCGTCCACCACAAATGAAGACTGAGTTGAGTCCAAAGGCCGATGTTGGCCATTGGACGTTCTCTGTAGCTGAGGTCTGTCTTCCCACGTTTTTCTGACCAGGTCGTACACTTTCATCGCTCCCCTTCCTGTGACGAAAAGCATCCTATCCACTACCGAGAACGGCTCCGCAAAGAAAGCTGAATTCGGCCATGGATAGGGGGTGAGAACCTGTACAGACCAGTCCCTTGCATCGAGGGAGAGCATCTGGTTTTCGTCGCCTTTCTTCCCAACGCACCATACTGTATTGTGAAGTATGTAAAAGCCAGTTCCCCTGGTCTTTGTCTTTTCCTTGAGGACGGTATCACGTAGGTCTGGTTGGTGGAAATCCTTCGCTTCCATCACGAGGGTGAGGCAATGTGGATTCCCAGAAATCTCGGGATCGCGGAACAATTTTTGACGGAGATACCGTAATGGAAGCAGTGGAAGTCTAACCTGGCCCAAAAGTTGCGGCATGTGCGCATTTCTGGAAGGATCATGATTCATCCATTTCCTGATTGCTTTATAGATCTCGATTTCAGAAGATACCTCCAAGTCGTCCCTTCCTAGAAACATCTGCAACGTCTCCACGGACATGGAGAGGAAGTCTGGAGTAGGGATTATTTCTTGGAACCTGCGACTAATGAAATCGGATGCTGCATCCTCTAGTGGTTTCATTTTTAGATTTTGGGCCGTGTAGAGAAGTGCGAAGGCATTTTTTGGCATCAGCATCTTCTTTAGTTTTTCGGAGTATTCATCACAGAGAAGGTCGATTTGGAGATAATGCGAGTCCTTGAGCACGGCCAATGCGATTTCTTGGTCGTCCGTCCCGTATTTCTCGTCGTAGACGAAGTCCCAGATCACTTTGAACCCTTCTACAGAGACCCCTCGCAAGGAAACAATCTTGTCGTCCTTCTCGGAAATGAACTTTTTTTTCAAGACCGGAGATGCAGATCCCAGGACGAACCGGCTTCCGTAGTAGGAGACACCTTGAACCTCAATGATGACGTCACAAAGGTCATTCTGTTCTTTTGAGTTCTGCATCATGCCCTTGCCAAGAAAACGATATTGTTCCAAGGTTTTTGAACGTTTCCCGTCGTCGCATTCCGTTTCCACCATCAACGTAGACCTCGGTGAAATTGCGGAGTGCTGAAACCTGTGACAAAATGGCACTTCACGGAAACAAGAGATACTGCAATCACAAATACAGCAACAAATACAAATACAGCAGGAGGAATTCCGCCTCGGCTCGCTGTCTGTGTGGAACGAATGACGTCATGCTTCTCCGAAAGTTCCTTTTCTTCCTCTCTCGACCTTTTTCCTTCCTCCAATTCCTTCCCCTCGGAATCCGAGGCAGTATCTCGTCCTGTCGTCTTGCTGCTCGGTTCCCGAAGTTGGTTGCAACAGGGAAATTCTGGCATCGATCGATCTCCGAAGTAATTGAATGCAATGGAAGTTGGGATGATTTCTTGAAATCTAGGAGAAAAAAAAAGTTATTAAAAAAATCTGATTCCTTCAATTCTTTCATTTCGAGTCTTCCGGAGATGGAGAGAGAAGCGATCGCGTTTCAACTAATTTACTTGAGAGAGATACTTGAGATCGTGTGGCCATTGGAATGTATTCTTCCTCTGTTTCGTATCTTTTCGCTGTCTGTCATGGAACTTTTCATCTTGTACCCATCCAAGGAAAAACAGTCTTTTGTTGAGATTCTTTGCTCGATAAAATCTGCTTAAAGGATGATGATGCTTAACTCGGAACGAACTGGCTCGTATAGTATGAGACGCCTTGAACCTTGAGGATGAGTCGCTAAGGTCATTTTTTTCTCACGAGCTCTGGGCAAGGCTCTTCGCGAGGAAACGATTTTGCGTCGAGGTCTTCGTGCCTCTCTCGTGCCCGTTGCAAATGCGAGACGGATCGCGATGAAGAATCGCGGCGACCGGAGACGAACCGGCACCTCGAGGATCCACGACCGAAACGCGAATGGGGAAGACGAGAGCGCCGGGCCCTTCGCCGATTGGGTCTGCGGCCTTTTTTCGTTGCGGTCGGGCCACAGCGCGGTATCAGAGTGACATCCTTCCTCTGGGACGAGTCTTGGCCCCGACTTATCTCTCTGTTTCCTCCCTTCTCGAACGCAGAGGCAGAGCCTAGCCCGGAGGGAAAGCGCTAGTAGCATCCATTGGACGAATGTTAGACATATCTAACGTTATGTAAGTGTGACATCAACGAGCCCTTCCCTTTGGTTCACTTCGAACTCAAACAATGGATGTAATCTTCATGCGATGAGGTTGGTGTATGCTCCAATGCAGTCACTCATGCCAGGCTCTGCTCTGGTGTAAATTCTGATTTCCTACAATGGACTTTCCTTGTGCTTTGCGCTGGTGAAAATTTGTCAATTTTAGCGACTTTCGATCTTTCACGTCGTTTATGCTTTCTTCGTATAACAAAAAAAGGGTCTTTAAATTTTTCGTTACATACAACGCCTTGTGGTTTGACAGAGGAGTAACATTCCGGCCGTGAGGGGACCAAAGTATTTGAAAACCCTGCATGATAAAGGCTAGCAAGAAAATTAAGTAAAAGTAATTTGGCTCTCCAACGTGTCCGTAGTTCATGTTCCATTCCGGAATTCCCTGGTCGGGTTTCGTGCTTGTTTAAATGGGCCTGCTACTCCCGACAAAGTTGTCATCTTCAGTTAAATTCGCTTAGTCGATGCCATAAAACAAAAGCTGAATCCAAGGCGGGGTGTAGCAGACGACAAAGGTAAGCAGAAGACAATGTTTACGCAAGAGACGGAGACCGAAAGGAGGCAATATGGCTGCCCGCATGCCTGCCGACTTTAGATGCAGTCCTTTTAATTCACGGCCCACTATCGGTCATTTCAGCCTTCCAAGGATTTGAATCTCCCTTTGAAAATAAAATTGACTTAACGTTATGACAGGATGCGCCAATGGTGTGTCAATTAATCTGTACGACGCCATGCTGTCATTTCCTATATATAACCATAGGCCTATCATTTTTTAATGTTGTTAGAACCATTTGCCATTATGTCTTTTTGTGACTTTTTCTGAAGGTCTAAATGCAATAGGCCACGTTTTTGAAAGTGGTGGTACGTTGAGTAGAAAATGGATATATATGACCTTTTCCTTTGAATATTTGAATATTTTATGAAGGGTTGCAATGAATATATCCCTGGAAGAAGGGGACATTTGGCCTTTTGGAGCTAGGGTTGTATGAATTCATTTGCTTAAATTAGGGTTTGTTGATGGGCCATGAATACGTATGCTACAATTACTTTTTATTATTGGAGCATGTTTGCAAGTGTCTTTGGTTAGGTGACCTGATTCTTTTTAAGGAAAACTGGGACATCAGAATGGAAAGGAAAATTTAAATTGGGACATAGCCTGAAAAACGCCTCATCAAGTTGTCCTAGTCTTTAAATAAGAATTGGGTTAGGATATTAGTTTTGAACAATGAGGCCTACCTCTGCATAAAAGTAAATTTTTTCTCATATAATAATTTGGAAATGTTCCCCAGGAAGTTTGAATTTTTATCTGGGGCAGCTAAATTTGAAGAGATTTGAAGGCCACTGTACCCAAGGAAGATAGCACATTGCTCATTTTTATAGTCTTTAAACCTCCAAGTGGCAAAAATTGCTATTGTGACATTATTTCAGCCTGCATGAACATTGCGACTGCAACATTTGCCACTTGCAGGTTTAATAGGCCCATTTTAAGTATTTCATATTGTAGTTCTTTGGTCTTTGTGAACCCTCCAAGCAGCAAACATCGCTGTTGCAACATTAATACAGGCTGCAATAATGTTGCAATTGTGACGTTCAGAGTTGCTTTGGAAGTGAGATGCATTGGCTTCCCTCACATTCAGCGTTCCCCTTGACTCATAGATCATATTGGTGTTACAGTGATCATCCCAAGTCCATAGGCCTGTATTACAGATGAATTAGACCCAATTCAATCAAATGTGGTAAAATTGGGCGAAGTTATACAAGATGACTGTGGTTTCCAAGGGTTTTCCATGATTATTGTATGCTCTGCTTCATGAAGTCAATATATATTTTTGATTCCTATTGAATAATTGTATCTTTAATATGAAGGATCACATTAACCTAACTTTGGTGAAGTCTCAGGGCAGTTGACCTTCCCTTTCAAGCTCTTAAATAAAGTAGAGTATCAGGACTGTACCAAAAAGTCCCATCATGTAAGCAGCCCTCCTTTATAGGTAGTGTGCAAAAAATTTGATTTGGGTGCACTGAATTGCCTTGTCCATTGTTGCCAGCTGTTAGCTGAGTGAAAAATGTTCCTGGGGCAAGCATTCTTCAGAATCGGCAAAGGCTCTCATAGGCTATGCCACCAGAGCATGAAGCCCAGGTGTCAGATGCCATTTTCATCATTGGCTGAGGAGGAAGTCATGTTGGATATCACCAATCAAAAGGGAGTCATTCTTCTCAACAGAACCAAGGCTCTAAATGCCCTGAATCTTTCCATGATTCGGAAGGTTTACCCTAAACTCAAGAGGTGGCAATCGGAACTTGATCTGGTGATCATCAGAGGAGCCGGAGGGAAGTCATTCTGTGCAGGTGGAGACGTCCGGGCCATCGTCGAGGCCGGAAAGAGGGGGGACCGCCTGACCAAAGACTTCTTTAGGGAAGAATACATGCTCAACTATCTCACAGGGACACTGAAGATTCCATACATAGCAATCATTGATGGCATCACCATGGGGGGTGGATTTGGACTGTCAGTTCACGGCCCTTTTCGTGTTGCAACCGAGAACACTGTTTTCGCCATGCCCGAAACGGCAATCGGTCTATTCCCCGATGTTGGTGGTAGTCACTTCCTCCCTCGCCTGAAAGGAAAACTTGGACTCTTTCTGGCACTGACAGGTCAACGGCTGACTGGAAGAGACGTGATGAGTGCAGGAATCGCCACACACATGTGCGATGCTAAGAGGGTGCCTGATCTCATTGAGGATTTGTTTGATTGCCCATCTGGGAAGGAGGAACAAGTGAAGGCAGTCCTGAAGAAGCATTCTGATGCCTCAACAGTCGGCAAGGATCGGAGGTACTCGCTGGAGGAGCACCTATCCCAGATCGATGCCATCTTCTCTGCGGATTCGGTCGAGGAGATCGTGCAGCGTTTGGAGAAAGATGGATCCAACTGGGCCAAGGACCAAAAGCACACCTTGATGAAGATGAGTCCCACATCCTTGAAAGTGACCTTTGAGCAGCTGAAAAGGGGGGCTCAGTTGAGCCTCAAGGATTGTTTCTGCATGGAGTATCGACTAAGTCAGCGCTTCTGCACAGATCATGACTTTTATGAAGGTATGTGATCAAGACTATAATTATACAGGTAGCAGGGTTTGGCTAGTAGGCAAGTAGTCAGCTGTGATCCCATAAAACCAAATGGCTGAACTGATGTCTATTGCTGAGAAGAATTGAAATTTTATTTGTTTATAGTGCTTGCATTGATATTGGAAGGTAAAAGTCATATTTAGGACAGGTTGAGTATAATGGTGATTAGGTTAGGAGTATGGTTTGGAGAAGGTGGTGGACACCTGAGTGTTTTAGAAGCAATTTAGTTGAATTGCATGAAAGCATTTAAGATTGCCTGGCCACATCCTATGATAATTGTGAAGCTGTATGTTCCATAGTTAATTTACTGGACCCGATGACTCTTTTGAGCCAAACAATTCCTAACAGTTGAAAAGTCCTGTTCTGACAGTAGTGCAGGTATCAGATCAGATGTGATATTTTCTTCTGCATCACATCTGGTTAGGGTTGGGATTTCTCAAGAAGGGATCTATGGCTGTGAGGTGATTAACATAGGATATGGTATTTCTTAAAGTAAACTCCATGCCTGGCTCACCCCTGCACTTAACTTCTTTTTCTATGTTCTTAAACAATCATCAGTGTCACTTTCCTGTGTTGATGGTATTCTATTTAAGACATAGGCAGTAGGTAGACTTTTTTTTTTATAGAAATGCAGGCAAATGGATGCCATGGACAATTAATTTTTGGGGGGAGCTTGAGGTACAACAGTGTTGCATGTGGAAAGAGATAGCACTTGTTAAAGGGCTGTAGCAAAGGTGTCATAAGATGGACTTCTAACTTGAGGTCATTAGAATGTCCATATGTTGATATGCATATGAAGAAACAGGTCCTTGTACAATGCTGTCAACCTATAGATAAAATGCAAGAAGACCCATGACATTGTACTTCCTCCAATGTTTTCTAATGCACTCGAAGCACATGCAGCAAAGATTAGAGTTAGGACAGATGTACAGTTGAAAGAAACAACTGCCATCTAATTTTACAGTATTTTTCACTTGACTGTGAATCTCATGCATGAGGAACATCCCATGGACGTGTGTCCGAGTCAAGTGAAGTATTGTCTAACTCAAGTGAAAAACACTAGTAACTAATAAGAAAGTCAGTCACAAGGTTTAAGTTTATAACCCCCATGATTATTCCCGTATTATTTGCCAAGGGAAGGTTTAAAATTTCATACTCATCTGAAGCAATATAGTTTTAGGTTTTAAAAGGTGTTAGTAATGTCAGAGTGTGCTATCAGAGGAGGTGGAATATTTCCACAGCAAGAGAGATATTTGGTTTTTATCAAGTTGATAAAATAAAGTATTGATGCATATAAATGTGTACTTCCTTCAGCTTTGTACTTATCAACTTTCAGGAGTGAGAGCAGTGCTGGTTGACAAGGACAACAATCCCAGGTGGAAGCCAGACAGGCTGGAAGAGGTGACTGCCGAGAAGGTGGCACATTACTTTAATCCACTGCCCGCAGAGGAAGAACTGCAGCTTGACTAGTTCTATCCTAATCTTGCAAATTCTACATACAGTTGAATACGGTTTATTTTGAAAATTCTACGTACCGTTGTGTTAGGTTTATTCAGGAGAGGAATGGCCACCCCACATAGCATGCTGTATTGTTAGTAATTTTTTCCCAAGATAAACTGAGGGAAAGTCAGTGTTGAGGTGCGTGGGTAGGCCATTCTTCTTGCAGATGATCTTCATTTTGTTCTCAAAACTGTCATGTTGCGGTTTTTGTTGAATTGTTGTGATTTTTTTTTTTTTGCTTTTGTGGAGATGTGACCTAGGGTTAATAAAAAAATTTGCTTTTCGAATTAGGTGAGTCCTTTCTGTATCACATCAGAGACTGAATCTAATATCTCAAACAAAAATATTGAGGTGCTGTAGTACTAGAAGTGAACTGCATTGACTTCTCATTAACTTCTGTGATGTGGGTGATGAACTCATCGATGATCTGACAAAAGGGAAAAAAATCTGAAAAAATCTTCATGCATTCAAATGTTGAAAAATGTTCAGAGCTAGAATTCACACGTTTTTAAGCCTGAGAAGTGATAGTTGCAGAATGTTTTTCCAGTTGCCACAAGAAGGCTCAAACTCTCAGCCTTCTGATGAAAATTGGAGATTCCTAAATTCTCATTCTCTAGTTTCAGGAACCAATTCTTGCCAACCTGATGTAATTTAAAACTCTATGTATGCCCTTTTTGTCAGATCATTGATAGAGAATTTATCTGAATGCTAGAACTAACTTATTACAAAGGTGCACTTAGTCTGACTTCTAGATTTGGCTTAAAACTATGTAAATTAGAACAGTGTCTTGTAGTAAAATTGAGCAGCATAGCCACTTTCCCCAAAACTTTCCATCACTGAGCTGTCCACGGTGTTGCATGCTTATCAGCATGTGAAGAAAAGTGTTGGATGTGATATTTCATGAAACTTAAAGTTGAAATCACTTGCTTAAGAGGTCACATTTGTGCAATATATCATCGATGTACTGTTGTGTTTATTCCATGGAAGAAACAAAGCCAGAAATTACTGTAATTCACTCCCCAATTAGAGTTTGGAAAGGAAAGTGACAATGTCAGATGTTCTGAAAGTTTCTTAGGAATCAAAGAGAATGTATGTCTTGATCTTTAGTTTCAAAATGTCATTTCCATGTGAAAAACTGTCACCTCTTCAAACTTGATCTGGTTTGAGATCATTAATCATTGTAGAAGAACCCATGTTGGCATTTGCTCTAGCAGTCCCATTCACTCCAGATTGGTTTTTCCATGAAAGCAATGAGTATCATGAAAGTGGTATATGAACTGTCCCAAAAATGTTTGAACATTCATGAATAAGTTGCTACTCATAAATATGTCATACTATCTTTTTCGGGGCTGATTAATAAATCAAATAAGCACATGCATACAAAGTTAGAACAGTACCTACTCTCAGGTTCTAGATATACAGGAGGTAATTCAGAGGGTGATGACAGCCTTAAGTACTGTATAGCCTGTTCCATTATTCCCTGTCGTGCCTCTCAATGGACCGACTGACATGAAGCGTACAGCCAAGAAGAAAAGCGAACACCCGTTTCACATTCGGAGACGCGCTCAAAGAACTCGTCATTTGGTGCACATGCACAGAACCTCGGTGAAAACATAGGCACAGGATGGCTCACATTCCCCCTGTGATGGGGGAACAGTGGGTTCTCTTTCCAGCAAGTTGTGCTCTTGCCAAGTGCAGCCAGCTGCACTGGTCTGCCCTAAACTCGCTGGATTTATCAAATGAGTCTATGGACTTTGATATAACTACATGCATGTGCTCATTTAATGTAATTCTTAGTCAGCCCTCAAAAGTGCTGTCAATTGAAAATATTGCAAAAATTTTTGTGATGGAGTGAATAATAAAAAAAAACAACCAATTCCTTCTTTTTTTTAAAGTGATATTCTGCTTCATTCATTCCTTTGGGGCCTAGAGATTAGGATCTTATGCATAGAATGCAATTTCAAATTTAGTTAAATTTCAAGTTTCTTCAGACTCATACTCTCATGGCCCCATACTCACTAATATATGAATTCTAAATTGGGCATCCCTAAGGTCTCTACACCATATTCCATTACAACCAGAAGGATCCTGAGTATATCTCTTGATTTTCCTCATTCTCACCCTCTAAAGTTCAAAGTGCACTGAGGTTTCGTGTTGTCAATGGGCTAACTTCAAAACTTGTTCCATCATCAGACTCCAACTGGAAGGAGCACGACTGACTGGTGATTGTGAAATTATGATGATGCATACAGTCCATAACCCATAATAAATGTTTTTATTAGGTTCTTTGTAAACTTGAGAACAATGGAAAGAATAGCAATAATTGCAATTATATGAACATAGAATCTCTTAAAGTCCCTCAGAGAAGGACGAGGAAAAAACTCGGAGAGAGATAAAGAGAGAGCATGCTATTGTGACAGGATGATCTTGAGGATTGCTTCCCAAGGTGAACACTCGCACACGCAAACGCAAAAGCTGGGGGAACTCTTCTTTCTTAGAATAGCTTCATTTTGCACCACGGTTAGTGAATACCAAGCGCCAAAAGGGTCGAGTAACAAGACTGCAAGCAAAGGGCTTCAGTTTCAATATGAAACTCAACCAGACAGATGGGGTGAAGCCAGAGGTAATTCTGATCTCTCATTTCCGAGTGGAAAACTGGGCTTTAACACCTGTGCCTTTTGGAAAATGGGCTTCAATTTCTTTGTAGATGGAAATATGAGCTTCAATTACAAAGCACATAGAAAATGTGCAAAAGAAAAAGAGGGAGTAATGTGACAAAGCTGGATGGATTGATGCCATGGAGGGATGCAAACAGGGGTGATGGCAAAAAAAAGGAAAAGAGAAAGAGAGAGACAACTCCTTTGTTAGCACTATATACACAGAGGGTGGGAGGAAAAAAATCAATTCGCACAAACACACGCAGAAACAACTGCAGAAACCGATATCGTGGGCTGCACCTCGACTTGCAGATCGTGAAAGACGTTCCCCTTCTGATGTTCTCATGTGGGACTCCCCATACGGAAAGACGTTCCCCATGGATGTTCTCGTCTCGAATCCCCAGAGGGGGATATCTCTCTCACGGGTGGAAAATTTGATATGCAGAAAGAGGAAAACAAGGGTCGGAAACCGACGAGGACGACGGACCGACCGTCCCGCGTCGACGGACTCGCTCCGACGAGACGTTGGCAAGATCGGGGAATATGAGGAATACTCTCTTTCATGATATAGGCAGAAATATCAGCACATGGAGAAGGGAAGGGCATGGGAAAAAAAACACTTTCTGCACCTTTCATACATCTCGTGCAAAAAAATTTGACTAGACCGAAATTGCGTGCACTTTGTCTTTTTTTTTCTTCCTCCTCGTTTACTTCACTTTCTTGTTCATGATGCAGCCAGTCCAGTAACTAGTAAATCGGTATAAGTCTGTTCATATATATATATATAACTTCTTTCTGTCTCATCAAAGACGGGTGCGCACAGCAGAGGGACGTGAATGAGATCAGGGCACACGGGAGCGTTTTGTTTTGGGGCACGCAATAGCAGTGTTTTCTCCTCCCCCTGGAAAGTTGTCATCTTTCGGGGGCAAACCGGTTAACCCATCTTCAGACTAATGGCACAAGAACAAGCTGGACAAAGAAAACAGAGAACCCCAAAAAATCATCTCTTCACATCCAACGAATGCAGAAGACGCTCCAGAAGACCCGGCTCGAAGGAAAAACTGGAGCTGTCGTGGCGCACGAATGGAATTTCAAGCCGAATGGAATTTCAAGCCGAAAGGAATTTCAAGCCGAATGGAATTTCAAGCCGAATGGAATTTCAAGCGGGACGATGTTACACGATTCCATTGCTCACTTTGCAATTCTTCTATCAGTGTCTTCTCTTACTCATTTACTTTCTCTGAATCATTAATCTTTCTCGGTTCCCACTTCATTAAAGACTTTCCTTTCACATTAATAACAAAGTAATCATAAAATCATTTGAGTCGCCTTATATGCCAGGTGCATTGGACAACTGCATTCTCACTCAATAGTTGAGTGACTCTCCTCTCCCCCACAGAAGGTATACAACCGGCTTGGAGGGATACAACCGGCTTGGAGGGATACAACCGGCTTGGAGGGATACAACCGGCTTGGAGGGATACAACCAATTCAACTAACTTCATTGGGGATCTTTAACTTGCCACTACCAGGCATGGGATGCAGCACATCAGCTGGGCTAGGTTTCAACCCTGATCTTTATCTCTGAATCATGATCACTATCAACCAACCTTCATCAACTCCCAAACGGTAATGATGGCCCATGCAAAAACGCATTCATTTAAAATTGTAACATAAATGAAACTAAGAGAGAAAAAAAAGCAACAAATCTCTGAGCAAGATATTACGCACTACGAAAAAATTCGCACTTATTCTTACCAAAACATAGACAAAAATTTCTTGACATTTGAGAGCAGAGACCCAGGTCTTATTATAGGAAACACCCTTGGGATGAGCGAGAATGCACTTGAGCCTTTTTATGCACCAAAGTGTGGCGTTGCTTTCGCAGCACTGACCTCGTGCAAATAAGAGAAATATCTTTAAATATACCAGTACCATTCACATTAATGTAAGAATAAGAAACTCGTCATCTTTCAGAGCTGACTTCCCTGATCCACCCACCCTTTAGCTGTCAATATCATATCAGTTCATTAATGGCAAATTGGATCTAGACTCCTAAGAGTTTAACAGTCCAAAAAACTAAGAAGACTCGCTCAAGGATGGAGCCAATTTTTCCATTGCTGATCGAGACGACAAAGGAAACGGCTCAAAACGAGAAGACACACCCCCCAACATTAATCTAAAAAGGATCGCGCATCGACTGCGGCCAATACGGAGGGCACAGACACGAGACATGGCTCACCATAGGACAGGGAATTATGAGATGGGGGAACGAGAGAATAGATAGCACGGAAGTGGGATTCATGTCTTTGGATGGGCATTCTCCTTCTTGATGCCGTCACTGGTGCCGTCGGGGGTGGATGCAAAGTCCCGCCGGGGAGGCATCCTCTCGTTCACTGCATCCAGTCCCTTGGCCTCCGCGAAGGAGTTGATCTTATGCTTCGGCGAGAACCCGGCCAGGGCTGCAACGACAAATTCCACGTCGGAATGCTTCATCCCGTATCAGTTGGATCAGAGCTTCTCGGCCTTTATGGCGTCGTGGTCCTGCCTCAATTATGCCATAAGCGTTGCGAATCGACACGTCTGCCCTTGCAGGCTTCACAACCAAATGGTACACGGCTTCGACCACACGAGAAGGGGAGGGAGACGGGAAAAGTGCAATGCATTTACATTTAACGATTTACATTCAAAATGCTAAAGAAAATCTGGGCGATGATGTCAGGAGTGATCTACGTTCACTCGTGCATCACTCCTGTGATGACTCACTTAACTTCCAGGTTTCAGCCGATTCTCACAGAGTAATTTCCAACGCCACTTGAAAACGATCCCTTACTCCAATAAGAGTCCAGTACTTGAAAGCGATCGGCGGCCACGAATTACCATCGCAACGGATCCACACCAGCAATACAAACCACTAACAATCCCAGACTGGGGGGAAAGAACGACAGAATAAAAAAAAAAAAAAATAAAAAAATAAAAAATGATACTGACCACTGTGTAGCGACTGTTTCCCACCGGACAGAGCGCCCAGAGGAAGGGCACCGGTCGGGGTCAGACCTTTCAACTGCAGCACGCTTTCGCTCTCCTCTCTGAAACAGGCAGCGGTTAACAATCAGCAATGAGACGTCCGGTCTGATGGACTTGGCATCGGTCGAGGTCCGAGAAACAAATAAAATCACTGCTTTATTAAATTTACATAACAACAACAATGCGAGCTGGACATAATGCCTAGATCTCAAATAACCAGGTCGATCAAAATCCCTCAACCGGGAAGGGCATACCATACGACGTTTCTGTCAGTAATATTCGCAAAATTCGCAGATATGAACAAGCACGAACTCCATTTTAGAGAGAAAAGGGAGCCAGAAAAGTGAAAACGGGGGACCTACCGTAGCACGGCAAATACTCGGGCCATCTTGCCGATTGCTCGGATCTTGTTGCGGATCACCTCTTTCCTTGCTTGGCTTCCTGCACCTGTTAATTAGAGCTCGTTAATTAAGGGGATCGGACGGCTGGATGGGTCAGTAGGAAGGTACCTAAGTTAAAACAATTTTCCTTACGTCTATCGGTGAAATGAACGAAAACTAGAACTAGTGTCCTACGTGTAACAAAATGGGGTCAGATGCACCCAAACACAAGACGAGAGGGAAAGCAACAAAAAAATAAGGTATTTAAATAAATATAATAAAAAAATAGCGAAGCAGGAGAAGGAACTGGGAGAAGGCATGCACGTGTGGGTGGACTCACTTGGCAGCGAGGCCCGGCGGAGGCCTGCAGAGGGGGACGGCCAACGCAAAGGAAGGGAAAGAAGGGAGGACGGAGGACCCCGGAAAAGAGAGAAAGAGAAAAGCAAAGACCAGATACCACCGGAGAACGGACACGAGGAGCAACACAGAGAGCAACGCGAACAGAGAGCAACGTGAGGAAACTCAAGACGACCACCACCTCGCAACACAAGCTACCGAAACGGAACCGGGGGTCAACACAAAAACCAATCTTAACCCCTCAAGCTGGATTGACTCGGGAAACGTGCGAGGGTTGTCCCCGGCAACGTACCTAGAAAAATTCCACAATGTCTCTGAAAAAATCATCAATGATGAGAGGCTGGAGACTCGAATACCGAGCATCCATCTAACACAAATGCAGTCCTCTTCCTAAACTTAACTTTTAATTTCCAATTCCTCCACTTTTGGAGAAACACCAGCTTGAGGGGATAACTCCCTTAGGGGATGATCCTACATTAAGCTTACTCCTACGCTAATTACACTATGCTAATTACACTACACTAATGAGGGAGAATTTCCAAGTGTTCCCATGTGGCATGAGGTTAAAAATAATTTATCACATTTTTTTTCCCGTGCTTCAATGATTTACCGTAAATTTACCAATCGCAATTTGAACAGATGAAAACACTCCCTGGCCTTCAACAATTAATTCATTTTTTTATTATTATTATTATTATCTATCACTAAAACAATTTAAGGTCACTTAAAAGAGTCAATGCAGGAAAGATGGCTCATTCAATAGTAGTGAAAGTGGAAACTCACGCAATAAAGGCGGATAAGTCGGCGGCATGCACGGCATCACATCGCATGCAATCGCGATGCAATTGCGATGCAATTGCGAGAGCAATTGCGAGAGCAAAAGAGAAAAAGAGGGCAATCAGTAAGAGACCAAAGTCAACTCAAACACAGCTGTTAATATATTAAAAACAATATTAATTTTTAAAAAATCCTGAAAACTGAATTTTAAAGCAAACCTCAAGCCAGAACGCCGTTTCGGTTAATAACCCCATGCTGCTTCGCATGCAGCAAATCGCTTAATGGTGCACCATTTCCATGCCAAAACTTCTTCCCGACTTCTGATCGCAGCCAAGAGATTATTATTATTATTTAAAATATTATTAATAATATTTTAATAATATTAAAAATATTATTAAAAATATTGGTATTTAAAAGTTTTCAGCAGTATATTATACATATAGGAGGCAGGTAGGTTTTTGAGAGCTTCCAGAAAAAATCCATTATGGAGATGATATGATAACCATTTTAAACAATTATCAAGTGATGCTCTTCAGACGAATCAGAGATAATCTCCCCGAGTTGCCTGGATTAACCTCGATCCTTCGCATTCTCGCCAAAGGGGAGAAAATCTGATAATAAAAAAATTAAGAATTTATGAACCTCCACATCCCAAAGGAAGTTCATCAGGATGTACCGAGAGGGAAATTGCACGCAAATTCCAAGAATGATTTTTTTGCAAGGGCATTTCGCAATGCCTTATCTCCGGTATCTTCGAATCGGCACAGATCAGAAGTCTCTCCAGCTTCCCGGCATTTCGCAAGGAAATGCCGAAACCCCGGATTCAGCCTCAAATTTAGAAGGAACTAATGCCGAAAAAAAAACAAAAAACTGGGAAATGGAAAAAAAAAAACGAATCAGACCTTCTTCCAGGCCATCGTCAGACGCCTCAGACATCAATTCGTCGTCTGAGCAGATGTTCAGCACGTTCACCAGCATCTCAGTCACTTGAAAAGGAAAGTGAAAATTAATTAAGGGAAAGTGAAATTAAGTTTGATCATTTTTTAAGTCGCTCAAGAGCAAATAGCAGGAATATGGGAATCCATTCTCCATCTTTTCTGGGGATTTAAAGACCAGAATGAGCAAAAAAATCTGCAAGGGGGGCTCAAACTCGCACTTAACTTCTTATTTATATATTTATTTAACTATATATAATTCATCAAAAATTCTGAGGAGACGGTACTGATGCATATACCACTGATAAATTGATGCTCATGCATACATATGGGTGCAGCTCTCCTGGAAACATTTGAGTGCACGAGGAACCCAATCAAAAATTCCATTTGAGTTCCCCGAGATTGCTCCCAGAGGAGAAGCCGCAGAGTTTGGGCTGGAAAACAAGTTACTTCTTCCGGCCTGGAAATGAAGTTGGTTCGGTACCTGACTCGTTCGGGAAGTGAATTCATCAACTCGTGCTTTTCTTTTAATGGAACAATCTGTATTACAAAGTTGCAAGCTTAAAAAACTCAAATAAAGAAAAATTTAGAATTGGCCTCAGAATTGGCCTCAGAATTGGTTTGCTGGTCCAAAAATGAAAATCCCCATCCAACGCCCGACTGATTAATTTTTCAATCTGTCTTTCTCCCGTTCGATTGACGGAATTGACCTCACCTTTCTCCCCGACAAAAGGCAGCGACCACGTGAAGACATCCATGAAATTTGGCAACCAGTACGGGTGCGGAGAGCAGTTGAACTGGCGAATGTTCATCACATTATTCTCGTATTTCAATACTGCCGCCTGCAGGGAAAAGAAGCGAGGTTCGGAAAAAAAAAA